CTCCAAAAGCCGGCCGCAGAACACATCCATCACTGGCTCTGATTGCAGGGCTGGGCTGGGCCCAGGAATCTGGATTTTTGCGAGCTCCCAGATGTGTCTCACCTGCAGGCCAGGGGTGAGAAGCAGCAGGTCCCACCCTCCGCTGTCTTCAAACTCTCCAGGTGCCCCACCGAGACACGTGTGGAAACTCTCTGGTTCCTGACGCGGACTGAAGGTTTGTGTCTTCCCAAAATTCCTATGTTGGAGTCCTAACCCCCTAACGTGATGGATTTGGAGGTTGGGACTTTGGGAAGTGGTTAGGTTTAGATGAGGTCGTGAGGGTGGGCTCCCCATGATGGGATTAGTGCCCTCATACGAAGAGGAAGCGAGACCACAGGGCATGCTCTCTCTCCCCACCGTGTGAACACACACAGGGAGAAGGTGGCCATCTGCAAGCCAGGAAGCAGGCCCTCATCAGGAACTGAACGCGCCAACACCTTGATCCTGGACTTCCAGCCTCCAGAACTGTGAGAAATGAGTGTCAGCTGTCTAAGCCCCCAGTCTATGGTATTGGTTACAGCAGCCAGAGCTGAGACGGCTCCCAAGGGCCTCAGAGTCACTGCCTCTCACTCCTATTTCACGCATTATGCCTAGAGGGACCCACGTGCCACTTTTAGTGCTTGTTCTGCACAGACCTTGAAACAAAAATCTAAGGCCTAGAGGCCCAGATCTCTGGGGGAAGAGAAATTAACAATTTTTTTCATAGATCTCAGTGGTCAAAAATGAAGCAGATTTTTTTTTTAAGCTTCCCTACATTTAAACAGAAACCAAACTGGTTTTCAGGCAATGTTAAACCAAGTCTTGGCCCTCATTCAACAGTCAAATGCTTACGGAACACCTACCAAGTGCGGAGCAGGGTTCTAGCTCATTCTTCCCAGCCTTTGGTGTCCATCCAAGAATCGCCAGGGACCTCATTAGCATGCAGATTCTAAGTCACAGTAGGTCTGGGATGGGCCTGAGACTCTGCATTCCTAACAAGCTCCCAGGTGATGCCGACCACACAGAGTAGCAGGGCTCTCGCCTAGCGAGCATCAACTCTGGCTTCATCTTGGAATCGCCCAAAGAGTTGTTTTTAAAAGGTACTGATTTCTGGGCCCCACCCCAGACCAGTGAAATCAGACACTCCAAGGGTGCGGCCTGGGCATTTCAAAAGCTCTTCAGTGATTTGAATGTGCGGCCAGGGTTAAACATCACTCTTCTGGGCATACAGCAGCAAGCGAGGCAGCCCTCAAGAGGAGAGAGATGACAAAGAAGCAAATCATTTTGGATGGAGATGCATGTCATAAAAACAAGATAGGGTAACGTGACGGGGGTGGGGGGAGGCACCGAAGCTGCAACAGAAGCGAGAGAGAACGACCACCAAGATCTGGGGAAACAGCCCAGCACAGCAACGAGCCCACACACGGAGTCTTAAAGAATGACTATGGCAGGGTCCCATTTGTAGCTTTAGAAAATGAAGCTTCGGGGGCTGGCCCCATGGCCGAGTGGTCAAGTTCGCGCGCTCCACTACAGGCGGCCCAGTGTTTCGTTGGTTCGAATCCTGGGCGCGGACGTGGCACTGCTCATCAAACCACGCTGAGGCAGCGTCCCACATGCCACAACTGGAAGGACCCACAACTAAAATATACAACTATGTACCGGGGGGCTTTGGGGAGAAAAAGGAAAAAATAAAATCCTTAACAAGAAGCACAGGGTGTTATTTGTTAAAAAAAAAAAAAAAAAAACCCAAAGAAAATGAAGTTTCTCCTCTCGCAGGTGAAAAGGAGTGTGCGGAGGGCATAGACAGCAAGACGCAGGCCCTCCCCCGAAGTCCTTATGAAGACCTGCACCAACATCCGTTGAACGCCCACTGCGGGTGGACGCCCCAGCTCTGGGCGCTCTGACACAGCAGGAAAGTCTTAAAGCTCCATCTTCCCGCATCCCCAGAAGACCTCATCTGGTAGATCAGGATGGGGGGCCCTGCAGCTGGTGGAGATGGACGCAGGGCGGGAGCCTGGGAGGATGCGAGAACCCCTGTGGTGCTTTATGGGCAACTCCTCTGTGTAGGAAAGAGGGCAGCCATTGGACACCACCCTCTGTCACACTCCTGAAACTTGAACTAACTGGGAGAGAGTTGGGTCCACCTTTAACACAGCAGCAGCTCCAGGACGGGGCCCTCTGGTGAACAGCTAGAAAGAACCGAGTGCCTGCTCCCCAAATTCCCAAGCTGGCCGACTGCAGGTGGAGTTCTGGTGCTGGAGGAGGCTACAGCCCCCACCCTCCAGAGGGGGAGCCTGTGACCCGGGTCCAGGCCAGTCCGGACCCACAGGCCCCTGGCCCGAACGATTGCCTTAAGGAGGTCATGTGACCCAGGCCAACAGAACCCAGGGTCTTCTCTACAAGCACCTCAGCCACAGGGGCTCTTTCAAGCATTTCTGGGTCTGGGAAGACACAGAGCTGGAGCTTGGGACCACCTTCCCACGGTGGAGGACAGCTGAGTCCTGAGACAGAGAGAAACTGAGTTAAGACTCTTCTCAACCTCTGATCTCACAGTTGACCGAGCCAATAAATTCCCTTTTTTTGCTAACCCCAGCCTGGGGAGGTTTTCTGTCTTTGCAGAAGAGGCCTGCCTCATCTAGGCTCCAAGACTACACAGCACTACATCAGACCCGCTCACCCTCCTCCGAGACCGGAAGTGGCTCCCATGGGGCTGCTGACCGGGGGACTTCTGCATCCTTCTTTGTCACCAAATCTTCCCTGTGTTGGGATCCTGTCTTCCCTACTCAATTGTGAGCCACTCGAGGACAATGGCTGCCTCTTAGACTTGCTAATACTCCCCACCAAGTGCCCGCCAGACAGGCAACAGCCGGTGCACTTGTGAAACGGAAAGGGGGCTGGGTATTCTTGTGGCCCCAAAAGGAGGCGTCAGCCCCACCTAGGCTGGGAGGAGGGCTGGGGCAGGTGCAGTGGAGTGGGGTGAGCATGGGATCTGGAGCCAGGTGACCCAGGGATGCTCCTGCCAGCCAAGAGACTCGAGCTCCTCATCTTTGCAAAAACACTGTAAGGCTTAAAGTGCTTAATATTCAAAATGTACTTTCATTCCATCATTTGACCAATATTTACTGAGTCTTTTCTCTGTGCAGGGCCCTGTTTTGGAAACAGTCAACACAAAGCATAATGCAAATGTTAATTATTGCTAAAGATATTGCCGATATCCCTCTGTACGGGAGACAAGGCCAGGTCCTCCTGCCAAACAGGACTGACTGCTCCATAGTTAGTGAAATGATGTTTAATCAGTACACTGAGTTACAGGGGCAACAATGGAGCACAGGAGAAGTCTAAGAAACCGGGCCCTGTGAAAGCCGATGTGTCCAGACTACACGTGACAGGGAGAGGGCACAGCCAGCCCAAGGTGAGAGTGCCAGGGAGCTGGAAACCAGTCAGAAATGCACTAACCCTGGTTCTTTACCCGGAGTAGCTACACGTTCCCCACGTGGACGGTGCTAATTCTAGCATCTCAGGTCCCTGGAGCGACAGGATGGGCCCCAACGTCAGTCCCCAGCCTTGCAAGTATCCATGTGTCCGTCCAGTACACACGTCTGCCACTTTGGGCTGAAGAAAGATGGACTGGGGGAGGTTAAAGGACAGGACAGGCACCGCCACCTGCTGGGTCACCGGGACAGATGGGAGTTCAGAGTTCAAAGGGAATCCCAGTTGCCTGTCTGCAAGCCTGTGCTCCTCTATCCTGCGTGTCCCCAAAGGGCTTCTCAGAGGCATCCTGAGGGCAGGGAAGCTGGTGGTCTGGAGGGAAGGCCCCGGCCTTCTTAAGCACATGGAACCATCTGAATATTTCAGTCACACAGGCCCACGTTCCAATGCCAGCTTCACCACTTACAAGCTTTGTGACTGAACAACTTGGGTCTCCCCCCTCCATCTCTCCTGACCTGTCAAACGCGGGTAAGACCTGCGTGTGACAGCAAGACACGTGACGATTATCGTCTAAACCTTTCCTTTGCTCTGGGTCTCCATTTCCTTTTACGCACAGCCCCAGAGAGTCCTGCCAGATTTTTTCAACAACCCCGGAGCAGCAAGTATGAGCCTGCCCATTTTACAGGTGAGAAAATAGAGACCTAAAAAAGATTATGTGACTTGCCTGGCAACTCGGTGGAAAAGCCAAGTGATCCCCACTTATAGTAAGACTTCATAGTTCCCAAAGGGCCTTCCAATACATCATCCCATGGGATCCTTCTCACCAAGACACCCCAGTGCTGGAGCCAGAGCGGAAGCCCAGGACTGCCCTGTCCGAGGCCTGGGCAGCGTCCAGTTGCCTCCCTGCTTGCTGGTACTCCCTCCCAAGAATCTTCTTCACCTATTTAAGCAAAACCTGCCTCTGGCAGAAGAACGGATAAGATGTCATGACTGGGTCACGGCAGCCTCTGACCCCCTAGAAGAGACTGAAGAGGAACATTAAAACTGCCTCCTGGGGCAAGCAGATGTATCTCCCCATCTGGAAGGACACCAGGAGCTCCCACTCCAGAGAAGGGGCCCCCGCACCCTAAGTGTCCCACCCTACAGCTGCCCAGCATGGTCCAACCTCAGGGGGTCATGCCAAAGTGCCACCTGCCAGAGCATCCGGATTTGCTGCCCCTGGAAGCTCCATCCAGTGGGCACAGTGAGCAAAAGGGGAAAAGAACAAAGACACCTGGGCGAACTAAATCAAGACAGTGGGGAAAACTGAGCATTTAGGAGCACTGTGAGAACACAAAATGCAATTTTAAAACTCCTGAATGTGACCTTTTCAGTTGTGGGATAAAGAAAGTACGTGAGTTGCTTAGCAGCACTATGAAGGTCTGTACATCACCCTTCAACGCTTGCAGGTTCATAAGACCACCTTTCTCGGCTCCGGCTGTAACAGGCCACAGAAGCACCATTGCCAGGCCAATGCCTGGGAGTGGGGGCACGGGGAGAATCTATTTCTTTACCAGGATCTGTGCAATTCTTAGCTGTCTGCGTCCTGTTCACTGGTGCCATCAGCCTTCGACTTCTCCACGGGTCTGGTAGAACATGTCTGCTGGCAGAAGCTGTTCCGTGCCCTGGATTGGAAAACAAATCGGACACCATTAGGTCAGTGTGGTGCCTGCAGCCTCACAGTGACCTTACGTATCTGTATGCGGCTATGTCAGCGACAGCCCTGTTTGACTACAGAGCCACCTGTAGGGAGCATACAGCGATGGAAGCACACTATCACCTGCTCACATGTACTAATCTGTCTCCTACATCTAGTTAATTGTTTCCAGTCCCATACGGGTGAGCACGTGATCGGACCTTGGCCGAGAACGCTCCGGTCTCTGCCCTCACAGGTGCAAGAAAGAGTTTAGACAGGTGACCATTAAATTCTGGCCCAGTAAACATGCTCGGGTGTCCCTATGCTGGAGGAGCCACAAATGGCTAGTAAGTCAGCAAGCAGAGGGAGAAGGTTCACGGATCTGGCCCATAGCTTCTCACCCTTAAACATGCAAAGAAATCACCCTCAGATCTTGTCAAAATGCAGATTCTGATTCAGTAGATTTGGGCTGGGACCTGGGCCCTGTACTAACAAACTCCCTGATGATGCTGATTCTGCTGGTCCACGGGCCATACAGGGTGACAAGGGGGATCACTGGTGTGGATGCCAGTGACCAGACGCAGCTTAACTCCTAAAGGTAATTCCTGATCCAGCAAAGAAAAATGATTCTCACTTTAAGAACTTTAAAGTATTCATTTACCTCCTTCATTCACCTGATGCACACACTGCTTCCGCAGGGTAATAATACCTCTGCCATAATGGTGACATCTAAGAGCCTCTGGGATTTTATTATTTCTGGTGTGTAATTGGGGGAAAAGCACACCAACTTGCCCAATTGCAAAGCACCAGGCGTTAAGATATTCAAATAACCTTTCTGGGTTTCTGTTGGAAAGAGTCACTGTTTGACCCTATACCTTCAAATCACAAAGTTTGGGTTTATGCATGGCCGTGTTTTTTTAAGAGTTTAATCACATTCCACCTAATTTTTAGGAACCTCTGTAAACTGTCCCTTTCTAACTGCTCAGGAAGGTACGACCCGCTTTATAAACCGCATGTCCAGGTTCCTACATCACCTGCATTTCTTTCATTTTTAAAATGTGAAAAGTAAGCCTAAAAGGTCGGCAACATCCGACTACAATGGGAACGTTAGCCAAGTGGATGTCTTCTGAAGCTCCCACATGGGCTCACAGGCCCCACTCCACCCCCAAACAGATATTTCTTTTGTGAGTTTCTCCTTCTCTCCACCTCCAATCTGCATATCCTAAGAGGCTCCCCAAATCTCTGGGTCTCTTCTCGGATGGGGTGTCGACTGTGGCTCCAGACCCCGGCGCTCCCCTCCCGCGGGGATTAAGAGTTGAGAGAAGCGACGCTCAAACATGGCAGCAACCTCCCGAGGAGACAGCCCGCCCCATCGCTTTTGGGGTTTGGAGAGCAGACGTCAGGACCCCCGGGGCGCCCCTGTGGAACAGGGCAGGGGCGAGGGCAGAGCTGAGAAGCGGCTCCCAGTCTCTGAATCTGGGTTTTCGAGGGACGGGGCACACAAGCCTCTCCGCTCCGCAGAAAAGGAAAACGGATCAGTCAGTTTCAACCGCCCCAGGCCAAGAAAACCCACACCTGGACTCCGCCGCTGCGCTGCCCATTCCCCGTGCACCCTAGGGACGGAACTCTGCGCGGAGTGGCCAGCGTTCAGGCTTTCGTCTTAGTAACACAGATAGGCAGCCGCGTCCTGAGCCCCCGGGGGCTGCGCGCAGCTCAGGGGAGCCGGCCCCACAGCGCACAGCATCGACCTCAGCCCTCCTGGGTGCACTCTACCTGCTCAGTGGGGAGGCGACTGAATGAACCCTTGGGACCAACCTGACGGAGAAGGAAGGGCAGACATCTCGGAGCTGCCCCGAGGCTTCCCAGCCCAAGCCCCCCAACTCCCGGGGAGGGTCCGCACCGGCACCTACCCGAGCTGCCGAAGAGGCCGGATGCACAGCACACCAGGGCCAGCACCGCGCACACGAAGCCAACTTGCTGCGGCAGCATCTCTCGCCTCCTGCGAACTTTGCGCGGCCGGAGGCGCCCGCGGAGCGCCATCCTGGAGCGCCTGGGTGCGTCCCTGGGAGAGGATGGGGAGCTTCAGGGGCCGGAGTGCTGTCTGTGGCCGAGTGGCGCTGGGGCTGGAGCGGGCGACGCGAGGCTCAGAGGTGAGGGGCTCCAGGCCAAAGCTTCATGGCCCGCGGGCAAGGTCAGCTGGGAAGCCGCGAGGGGAGAGGGGAGATGGGGGCGCGCGGCACCGCGAAGGCTCAGAGTCCCGCGCGCGGCGTGCGCGCTCCGCGCACCATGGCTCCTTGGCGAGTAGGCGACGCCGGCACGGTGGCGCTGGTGGCCCTGGCTCGCAGGGCTGGCGTAGTCCGGGCGCTGGAGTCGCTACTTGCCCGCTCAGCCTCGGCTCGCTCGCCCGGCCGCAGCCCTGGCAGCAGCGTCCGGGGGCGCCCGCTGGGAGCACTTAGTGCGCCCCCGCGCCCCGCGCAGCCGCTCCCGCTCGCACCATCCTCCCCCTCCAAGTTTGCAGCGGCTGCCCTCCAGCGATGCTTCCCGGCGAGCTGAGACCGGGCGGCCCAGTGCGCGCAGCGGGCAGGCAGGCTGGACGCGCGGGACCTGCGACCCTCGCCACCTAGACGTCGGCCCTCCTGGGGGCGAGCTCTCCCCGGGAACTTTCTCTCCGGCTGCCGGCGCCTGCGTCTGCGAGGCCGTGGCGCCTCCCGCCCGCAGCTCACGCCTCCCTTCTCCTCCCCTCCCGCCCGCCTCCCACCCCCCTCCCGAGCACGTGTACTCCTCCCCTAGGGCGCACTCGCCGGTGCGCTCCTCCCTTCCCCCGTGAGGCTCAACTACTGACCAACATAATCGCCCTCGTTCTCCCTTTTTCTCTCCTTCCTCCCCTGCGGAGCCGAAACAAAACCCGCCCCCCCCCCGCTCCGCCCCCGCCCCCCGTACCCTCCGAGGCTGCTGCCGAGAGGAATAGGTTATGGCACCGCAGGGGCATTCGGAACAAGGGTTTCTGGAGCGCGGCCGCTCTTGTCTGGCTCCCCACGACCCCCGAGGCGACCCGAGGCCCCCATCCCACCACCCCCCTGGAGCGGGAGATGCAGGAGAAGATTAATTGCTCAAGCAGAGCTAACAAACAGGCTTGCACCGAGCCCACAAGCGCCCGCGCCCGCCGGGACCGGCTCCTGCAGGGCTCCCGGGGCGGGCGGGGGAGCCGGCGGCGGGGGCGCGACGCCGACCTGCACCGCGCTCTGGCCGAGCCGGGAGAGAAACCCCAGAGTTCTGCGGCTGAGACTTGAGCTTTTGATGTTGTGGAGGCTTGCAGCTTCACAGGGCTCTCTGGTGTTTGTGTTGTTTTGTTTTTCCTCCTTGTCTCTGATCGGCTCTCTAGTGTAAACCGCTTTCAAAATGGGGCAGGAGAGAGAAGTGCACAAGAGCGGCAGAGGAGGTATAATCTAGGGGCCAGCAGGTGTGGGGACCTGCAGCGGAAGGGCCTCAAGCCCAGAGGGTTGGTGGCTACCCCTGGGACTGCCTGGCTACCCTGGCCTGCTAGGGGTTAAGGCCACTTAGAATCCTTTTTGGAACCAGGCCAGCTCTGTTTAATTAAATAAATACACACCCACCGCGTGAGGGACCTGTGCCAAGTAGCAAACCAAGTACAAAACAAAACAACCAAAAAAATGTGCAAGATTCAGTCCCTGCTTTCAAGGAACCCTAAATCGAAGGGGAGCCAGGCCCCTAGAGAAAAACCCGTTTAGTAGGGGCAGTACTAAAAGTCACAGTTTTGCAGAATGTGCATTATTCCCTCCCTAAACAAAATATGGGCCACAGCAGCAGGATCATTGCCCGGGAACTTGCAAGAAATTCAGGCTCTAAGGTTCCAGCCAAGACCTACTGAGTCAGAATGTGCATTTTTACACAGACCTCCTGGAGATTCCGGTACACATTGGAGTATGAGAAACACAGCCCAGTGCGTCTCGCTGGTCACCATCTGCATGGTTCCTCTTGGACTGAGTAAGCAGGGACAACTTTGCTTGTGTCAGCCTGGCATGGTGACACAGGGAAGAGGTACCTGGCGGGCCAGGGCAGAGAGAAGATTCACTGATTAGTTTCAGCAGCCCCATTTCCGTCCCCACAAAGATACTGAAGGCATGAACACAAGGCTAATTGCAGTGGAAACCCCTAGAGGAAATGAAATGGAAAAGGCTGGGGTTGACCAGGTATGGAACAGCCCAGGCTTCTGTTTTGTCTCTAGAAATGGCCTTTCCATTGAGGCTCACCGTCCACCTCGGTGACCTATACTGAGCATGCCTGCCAGGGATGGAAAAGCCACTTTTTATACCTTTGCAGAATTTTCTTCTCATTGATTAGCCTGTACAAGGATGCATTTATTAATAGCAAGTAGAAGACCATAGTTGCTTAAGTCTTAAGTATCTCACTTGGAAAGCTAGCCAAGGGCCCTTGGCATCATATTTAAGCCAAAGGAAAAAGTTACAGTGATCCTGCTGGACGCTGTGGTCCTGCCGGTGAGACAGCATGAGGCTCACGCTGGTGAAAGCAACTCCAAGGAGCAAAATGGCATCTTGTTACTAGGATTTAATATTTCCTTAAACTTCTTGTCTGTGGAGCTCACCTAGGGCTGGTGAAAGTAAAAATTTTTGAGTCCAAAACAGGATGGAAGGAGTTATCAGGTGTCTGTCTTTAAACATTTAGCCAGCTTTTTAGTAGAATGCTTCTTTTCTGTGACATCTTTCATTTGCTCTCAGTTACTAGTTAGAACGCTTGGAATAATTTCACATGCACAAATGGAGTGCTTTTATTTGACAGTTTAAAAAGCAATTCTTTGCTTCCTTGAAATAGTGCCCATTACCAGATAGCCTGGCTGCAGCCCTCATGACTCACCCCGCACAAGAGAGAATGCGGTTTTATGTGCCTTTCAGCTTCAGAGCATTCAGGAGCGTTTTCTAAGTCAGCAAGGCCATGGGGACAAATGGAAAATGCATTTCTGGGTGTATCTCAGGCTCTACGTCTGGCTTCATTGCCACTGGATTCGGAGGATCCCCTTTGTGACAGTGTTTTCTTCTGATGTGACATAGTAGGAGATTGGTGACATGGCCAAACACTTTTGGCCATTTTGATAGGAAGGCTCAGTCTGTGGGGATGGGTATATTTTTTTTCTTAAAAGTTCTTTCCTAGGACATGAAGAGCCTCACTGTTTAATTAATCTTCTTACTCAGGTTTTTCAAGTTTGCTTTTCTGGAATGAATGACCTTCTCTCTGAATTTTGATTCCTCCCTCTCTGCCTTCCAGACGACGGTATCAGTCAGCAAACTTGCGAAGGCATCAGAATCCCTTGGAGGGCTTGTTAAAACTCAGATTGCTGAGCCGCACCCCAAAGCTTCAGCTTCACTGAGTCCAGGGTGGGGCCTGAGAATTTATATTTCTAACAACATCCTGGGTGCAGCGGATGCTGCTGGTCAGGGGACCACACTTTGAGAACCACTGGGGTAGGTTGTGCTACGGTGACAGTGACAGACAACAGTAAAACAACAAAAGTTTGCTTCAGGGTACAGAATATGCTATCTCAAAATATGTCACTTTGGCATAAGGATTATTTTGAGCTGAAGGCAAATGAAAAGAAGCAGATGCGAGAAAAGCTCTCGGCCCTTCTCCTATTTGCCTAAAAGCAGGACATAAATTTGTAGAGATATGCCCCCCCCCGCCCCAACTCTTTCTACTAGGAAGGATGGAATTTAATTACTGGCAACTCCATCAACCAGAGACAGCACCAGAAGAATCTATCTAACAAACCTTGCTGAAACTGGCTGTTATCTACCATTAGTTCCCCCGTATATTTGCCTTCCCACAATTTGCCACCCCTAGAAGCTCTTTTTCCTTTGTCTTGCCACGTCTCTAAGAATGTACTGCTCTTTTGTTAAGATGCTACATGCCCAAGTTCTAACCGACCCTTGGAGTTACCCTTGCTGGGTGTGCCCATGTATATGCGTGATGCACATGTTAATAAACTTCTGTTGGTTTTTCTCTTGTTAATCTGTCTTTTGTTGCTCTAATTTACAAGGCCCCTGCCAGTGAACCTCAGGTGGGTAGAGGGAAAATAGTTTCTCCTCCCCTCCACTTCTTGTCTGTCAGGAGAACTGTATCCTGAGGCCAGTCACTCAGGCACCCAGGAGCAGCCAGGGTCTCAGACATTGCTGTTTGTCATGCCAGAGGGAAGAGAGACTCCAGAGGGTCTTGCACTGGCAATCGATTACTCTGGCCTGGAGGTGACATGCTCACCGCTACTCACCATTCATTGCCACCCTCCCCAAAACCACTAGGAGGTTCAGAAGTGCTGGTCTTCCCCTGCTGCCTGGGATCTGACCTCTGTAGTGGATGTCCCGAGTGACTATCACACCAGGGCAAACACGGTCCCTCTTCCTTGCTTTGTGGATCTTTCCTGCCTGCCCTTGCACGTCCCTAGGAGAGCTGGTGCTGCTTGTTCCAAAGGCCCTGGCGTGCATCCCCCTTGTAGCACTTACCTCCCACGGTTTTGTGATGTGAGTGAGGTTGTATCTGTTCGTGCTGCCTGAGAACCTGAAGGACTTGCCGACTTATCCACAGCTCTGAACACAGTACCTAGCACGGTAAGTGTTTAATAAATAAAGTATTTATGGAAGGAGTAGATGAACACTTTTTGACTACAACGTGAAGAAGGTAAAGAATCATCACCCCCGTTGGGTGGTGCTCACCCTCGTTCTTCAGCACCACCCCAAGTTTCCACTCATCCTCATGGTCAGGGTCACCAGTGACCTGTGGCTACGTCTCAGTGGAACTGGACACTCTTAAACGCACCCTTCTTACAATAATCACATGCTTAACTGTCTTGGCAGTGCGTGCTTACAGTTTTCCTCTTCCTTCTCGGACCAGCTCTTCGCTCGGCCCTCTGGGCTTCTGTCCCAGGCCCGGTTTTCTTCTTATGCTTTATCCCTCTTCCTGGGAGAGCCCGTCAATCCTCTAGCTGAAATTATTTGCTCTCTGCTGATGACTCCTAAGTCTGGGGCTGGAGCTAGAACTGGAGCCCTTTCAGGAATTCTGACCTGCATGTTGAAGGAATTGCCCAAGTCAGGAACCTGGGCCTCATCCTTGTCTTCCTGCCTCTTCCCCTTCCCCCTCCAGTCCATCATCACTCAGACTCAGATTGGTCCCCTTCCTGCCATCCCCATTGACACCACTGGCTCCATTCCTCACCTGGATGCCCGCAGGTTGCCCACAGCAGCCTTCTTAACCAGCGTCTCTCACCCCGGTCTTTCCATCACATTTCTTTCTCCACCCAGCAGCTAGAGTAATCTTTCTGCAAAAAGAAAAATCTGATTATGTCCCTTCCTTGCATAAAACCCGCAGAGACTCTCCATTGCTCTCAGGATAGACTTCAACTCTTTAACTTAGTCTGTAAGATCCTGCGTGATCTGATCAGAGCTTTCAACTTTGGCTGCATGCTTGATTCACCTGCAGAGCTTTTAAACTACCTGGGGGTGGGGCCTGAGCATCAGTACTTTCTCCAAGCTGCAGCCAGGGTGGAGACCCCTGTCCAGACCCTCCTGGCCCCTCCAGCCTGATCTTTCAGCATTCCCTTCCTTTCACTCCAGGCGCCAGCCATTGGGAACTTCTTCCAGGCTCTCTCTTGTTCGTCAGAG